GCAGCTCGCCACCTCGGCTCAAGGTTCCCCCACCGCGAGGCTCGCAGACCGCGTGCCGGTTCTGTGGCGCCTCGCTCGAGACCTGGGCCCACCTGGAGCAGTGCCCCCCGGCGGTGGCAGCGCTGGGGCGCGCGGGGCCGGCGGCAGCGGGCTGGGCGAGCAGCCCCCCCACGGCCGCCGAGGCGCGCCGGCTGGAGGCAGCTGCGGAAGAGGCAGCTGCGGAGGCTGCCGCGCGGGCCCCATGATAGAACCAGAGCGGAGTAGCGAGATATAAGAAGTGGCGATAAACTGGCCCCCTTCCGACTCGTCTCCGGCCCCCTCGCCCCCCCGCCCTCGCCCCCTCGTCGTCGTGGCCCCCTCGCCTCCTCCCCGCCCTCCCCTCCTCCCTCCCTGGCCCTCGCCCCCCGCCGGCCCGCCCCTCTCCCCCCCATATGGAAGCCGCCGCAGGCTGAAAAAGGTATGAATATTTGTTCATACCTTTTTCCGTGCCCTGGTGCCCGGCCCTGACCCGCGCCAGAGTGAGGCATTGACAGGAGGCCCCTGATCCCGGGGGACGCCCGCACCGACGACCCCGTCCGGGGGGCACCCATGGACGCACCGGAGCTTGTTGGCCCCGGTTGGCCCAGCCTCCGGCGCGGGCCCGGGGGCTGGGGGCTGGGGGGTGGCCCCGTGCCGGGGCCGGGGCGGGTGTCCTTCAGGGGGGGGGCTTGCCGGGAGCGCTCGGACGGTTCGGGGAGTCCCGGGGCTCGCCGGTGAGCACCCCGGGGCGGCCAGCCCAGGTGAAGCTTGGCGCTGGCCAAGCTTGCCATGCGGCGGGCCGCCCCCGGGCGCCATCGGGGTGTCCGGTGGCTGGCCTGGGCGCGTCTGGAGTGCTGCCACTCGCCGTACGATGTCGCCCCGTGCATTGCCACCCCGCTCTGGCGAGAGTGCCTGCCGAGCAGCCACCCGCCCCAAGCGGGGCTGCCGGAGGCTACCCACCGAGCGGCACTCGTCCGGCCTAGCGTCGGGGGGGCCGCCGGGGGACCCCCTCCCCAGAGGGCTGGTGCGCAGGGGCCCCCCGCGTCAGCGTCGGGCGCCACCCACCAGACCCCCTGGCCGCGGGGAGGGGCAGCAGCCGCGGGCTGGGCGCTAGGAGGCCCACCTGCGGGGAATGTAGGAGCCCGTGCCGGGCGGCCCGGCCGGGCGCGCCGCCCGACTGTGGGTGCGCGTCAAGCGGTCGGAAGGAAGGAAGGAAGGAGGAGGAGGAGGAGGAGGA